CAGACAAACCCCGTTTTGGAGAACCCGAGGGGGGGGGAGTTGCGCGGAACGGTGATTGGTTAGGTGCGCTAAAATGGGCGGGACGAACGCTACTTGAAGGGAAGGAGTCAACGTCGCGAATCCGTCATCCGAAGCGATTTATGAAGCAATTTTCTCGCTTGGGAAGCAACTTCTGGCAGCTCGAGTTTGGCAAGTATACAGCTGGAGGCCACACTACTGTTAGGCATCAAAATCTCATCGACCACAATTTGGGTGGACTGTGCTTTTAATGGAGTTTCCCCGAATTGGAACACTTCTTTCAAAGTCAACAACAAGGAGCAGTGACGAGTGCCAAATTGCTTACCGCTGTCGTTATTACAACTTTCTGTACCATTTGAATTGATTTAGATTTAGATGGCCCGTCCTTACATGACGTGCGGGCCCCAGTACAGAAGTTCCCATTTGTTCCTGTCTCTCGCTTCGGACATCCATGATCTTCTTGGTTGTCATCGGTGGCTGCGTCCACGAGTTCCAAGGGCGAAACTCGTATCCAGCTGATTTCTCAGCTGGTCCATATTCCACGACACAGGTCTGCCCATCTCGTTGGTGGTCTTTCTCGGGGACGTTTGGCTTCGCGAGGAATCCACTCAGATGTTCTTAGTGTCCATCTGTCGTCTGTTCTTCTCATGATGTGACCGACCCATCGGTGTCTCGCTTTCGCAACGTATTCCGCTGAGTCACGAAGACGGGACATTCTTCTCGTATCTGTACTGAAGTCCGACTAGATGTTGCTTGAGTCGGGTCATCTTCAGAAGACTGCACTCGAACGCTCTGTGAATTCCGCAAAGCTTTCGACTTGGCTACAGTGTCGGGCCAAGTCTCAGCTACGTAACAAAGCGCCGGGAGAACGGTTAAGTCGAACAGGTGGGCAGGAAGCTCCGGGTCCTTCAGTTGGTCGGTGGCTTCCTTCAGAGGCCCGAAGGCTGCCCAGGCTGCTCTTCTTCTCCTGTTAAGTTCTCTCCTCAAGTCGTTCTCCATGTTCATCGAACGTCTGAGATACACGTAAGAAGACGTCTCCATAATAGGGGTACCTTTCAATTCCCTTTCTGCATCTTCGCAAAGGGCGTTCCTCATGAACTAACTCTTCTTCCGGTTTATTCGCAGTCGGCTAACGTCCTTAGTAAGCTGAATCCCCTTGCTCACGCACTGACAGAATGGCGTTGCTTTCGACTCTTCAAAGGCTTTCTCGTAGTGGGCGAAGGTTAGGACGAGAGGCAGTCGGTATTCCCGGCAGACTTATATGACCCTCGAAACCGCCTGAATGTGGTCCATGCAGCTGAATCCTTTGCGAAATCCAGTTGTTCTTGGGGTTGGGCTTCATCCAGTACCCTAGATATGCGAGCAAGAACAATTTTCTTGAAAAGTTTGTACAGAAGGCATATTGGAGGTAGTTCCGAAGATCCTCCCGTGCACCCTTCTTAAAAAGAAGAACTTTTCTTGACGTTCTCCACTGGTTGGAAATCCTTTCCTTTTGAAGGTAAGATGTTAGGTGCGACGCGGGATCTGGTGTAGTTGTAGTCCTCCGGCTCGCAGAATTTCGACGGAAAGATGGTCTGGTCCTGGAGCCGTGGACGTTTCATGGTCTGTATCGCGGTACGCACTTCAGCAGGTAGAATTCGTGGGCATCGGCACGGGTGTTGATGAGCGGAAGAGGTTGGTGTAGAAGTTCTTCGCGATAGATTCCATCTTGTATCGGGAAGAAGTCGGAGTCACGTCTTCGTTCAATAGTACAGCCAAGCGGTGCGTGATATTCAAAGAGGTCCCTTCGGCACTTCTTGAGACTTCGTCTTCCTTTGGCTGCTTCCAGCATCTTGGTGCCTGTACTTCCTGAGATCCTCCTGCAAAGCTGTTTTGCAACTGGCGTTGGCTATCAGTTGCTTGATATGGGTTGCATTCGGATCCTGCCTCATCTTCTTCTTTCGAGCATTTCGTTGGTGGTCTTCGAAATACATTCCAAGTTCGGTATTTTTCCGTTATCCGGACCCATTTTTTTCAAAAGCCTCTCATAAAATAGGTTCTTTAGCCTAGAAACAATTTTTCATAGATTCCATGAGGGCTGCCTCCCTGCCACGTGTCAGGAAAATATTGACACGTTTTGGTCTATTTTGACGTGTTATTTTCGAAATCATTTCCGTTGAGGTAAAAGAGCATTTGTGATTACCTAAAAGCTGTTTTTATTTTGTTTTCCATAAGAGGAAAGCAATTTAGGACTTATATTATAGAACATTTTGACTGTTTTTAGCAATGATTTAGAAGTGACTTTCTCTTCAAACATTTCGCCATGTCAATTTAGCCAGGAAAGATTATAAATGGCCCGAATCACCGCGCTGCTGCTTGTTTCGCCGCTTAGATGATGGACTCTTGGCTCACTTCTCTATTCTGGGCAGGTCTAGTGTGTTCATTGATAATAGGGTGACGTTGTTATGACAACAATATTCATTTTTGCTACTGTTCAATCGACAATAGGGCCACTACTAATTGAAAAACAGATCGAACTCACGTCGCTAGGTAGGGTAACAAAACTCTTGGTAAAACCTGTTAAACATGTGGATGACATGTCAAATTTTCTTGACACGTGGCAGAAGGTTGACGCTCCTTCCTGTGAAGTTGGGATAAAATATAATATTAGGTTGGCTAGAAAGTTCTTGCGTAATTCAAACAAAATTCGATAACTTTTCAATGACTAAACCTAAATTCACAATTTTGTTCCCTAAAAATATTAGAAGGCCTGCGCTCTGTGATGGATGTTTAAGCGCAAGATTTCATGAGCTAGCCCCCGAGAACGAAGCTCTCAAATATGGGACTTCAAAATTTGCAATTTTGAGTTTGGTGCCAGAATATCGCAGAGTGCCGCAAGCTAGCCGAAAAAAAAATCTGTAAAAATTACTTACACTGCAGAAGTTCATACGTTATTTTAGCAGGCTTTAATCTCGCATGGAAACGCGAAAACAAAAAATTTGTGGAGTTTGTCATTTTACAGGATAAATCCCCTTAACGATGTAATTTTTCCACAAAAACACAGTTTGCTACCAGAAATAAGACATGTTGGCTATTTAGAACCTTGCGACGTTTTTTGGAGTGTAAAAAATTGTTTTTGCCGAAAAACTGCGGTAATGAGTGGATTTTTTCGGCAAAATGACTACTTCACGAATTTTTTGTTTTTGCTTCACCCGTGCAAGATCAAAGCCTTCCAAAGTAACTTGAGGACTTCTGCAGTGTAAGTAATTTTTACAGATTTTTTTCGGCTAGCTAGCGGCACTCTGCGATTTTCTGGCACCAAACTCAAAATTGCAAATTTTGAAGTCCCATATTTGAGAGCTTCGTTCTCGGGGGCTAGCTCATGAAATCTTGCGCATAAACATCCATCATGGTTCTAATATTTTTAGAGAACAAGATTGTGAATTTAGGTTTAGTCATTGAAAAGTTATTGAATTTTGTTTGAATTACGCAAGAACTTTCTAGCCAACCTAATATAAGGATAGAAGCAACATCTTTCTTTGAAAAAATGGGTCCGGATGACGGAAAAGTACCCCAAGTTCTTCTCAGAAGTCACTGAGGCGCACTCTCCGCAGGCTCGCAATCCTTTCAGAAGCCGGTCGTAGTCGTACGTTGGGTCCTCCTCGATGGGGCAGTCACAACTTGATATAAGCTCTTCCAGCCTGTTACCGTCATAAACGACTTCCTTCCTTCTCGCGGCACTATGACAGACTTTCTTTTCCAGCCTTCGGCTGAGTCGTATCTTCGCTCGAAGGAGGCGGTGATCGGAGCCACTACAGAAGGACGGAACTACAGAGACATCGAGTAAGCTCCACCTTCGGTTGGTGAGAATGTGGTCGATCTCCGCGTGAGTCGTTCCGTTAGGCGATTTTCATATCCACCGGCAATGTTCTTTCTTCATGAAGATGGAATTTCCATGGAAAAGTCGTGCGGCGGAGAGAAGCCCAACGAGGCGGTTGCCGTTTTCGTTTCGGAGCCCATATCCAAACTTTCCGATCCTATATTCCTTTTCTAGTGGCATCCCGATTGTGGCGTTGAAGTCGCCCATAACAAACTTGTAGAAGGACTTCTCGTTGCGGACGACCTCCTCCATATCTTCGTAAAAAGCATCTAGTTCTGAGTCATCTACAGAAGGATGGAACTACAGAGATAGCTGCTGATGTTGGAGAGTAGCAGTTGATGATGCTGATGGTCTTCTGACGTGGAGGGCGTAGTCGTAGGATGGCTAGTCGGGGTGATAGGATGTCGTGCGAAACGACAAGATGGACGATAGATGGGTAGACGACAAAGCCAACGCCTCCCACGTTTCGTGATGAAACCTTTTCACCACGAATGATGAGGGTCCCATCACTCATCTGTCGCACGTCCTTCTTCCTGGACTTCGTTTCCTGCAGAGCGATGATGTGGTAGTTGATGTGCTCTGCAGCGTCGAGAAGAGCGTGGTCGGCGTTTGTGGAGACTGTCCTGGCGTTGTAGGTGCAGAGCATGAGGCAGTCTCCATGGCGCGTCGTCCGGGCGGACGTGTCGTTTTTGTCCAGTCCGAAAGGCGCCCTGAGTACCCTGACATCGTTCTTGCTACCACCCGGCGCCGTAGGCGGAATACGATGTGCAGGGTTTCTTTCTAATCTTCAAACTGGAGGAATAATATGAATTTTCCCCTACAAGAGGTGGCTTACTAGGCCTACTCTTGATTTCCACGGGGCGATCGCTGACCCCGGGCTTGAAGCGGGGAGGGACCGCCTAGCAACCAGAAGAAGCCAGACGGCGGGGGATCTGGCGTGGCCGGTTCTTAGCTAGGCATCCGGCCGAAACCGGAAACGTCGAACTCCTTCACAACTTGGGAGGCCTGGCCAGAGTATACACTCGACTGTGCATCCAGTTCGATACCTGTTGTCACCCCCACTCCACGTTGAGGCGGCCGACCATTTCTGTACCATTATTAGAGATAAATATAATTCTTTGTAGAGAAGAAAACAACGAAGTGAAGAACCTTCACTAATAATTATTGCTGAAGAAGATGAATGGCGATATAAGAAACGAGTTGATCCACTCACAAGGTGGTATCTTTCAAAAGCCGCCACCAATCAAGTACTACAATCCTGTGGCTGTGCATCTGAAGAAGATAGACTACAGTGGTTTCTGTGAGTGCAGAATGTGCGTAATATGTCTGGTGATGGTTCTTTTTGAGTAGGCTCTGTGCAAGACACAGAGTCTGCACGTGACGCACTGTATCCTAGTCAGCCAACAAAAAAATTCTCAGTCACGCCTTCGACATGTATTTCGAGCAAATTCAAGGCATTTTCTCAAGGTGAACATGTCAAAACGATCGAAAAGGCAGCGTGGTGACGTAGTATTTAAAGGCTACTGCATGACGAAGGCGCAATAGCAGTATTGGTTGAGCGGGCGGGGACTCGGCGCGCGCGTATCTTCGCCGTTGTAAATTCTGCGTCTTGTGCGCTCTGTGGCTAATAGAGCCGCGTTCGCGCCCAAAGGTATTGCGCCTTCGTCATGCAGCAGCCTTTACCCATGGGAACATTTCCGTGATGACAAACTATACATTGAAGATAGACTGCTTTCATTCCCTGACGTGTTTGACATATCATATCACGTAAAGAGACATACGACTATAATACACTGGTTTCAAGAAGCAGAACGTCCATTCATCAATATAGCACTTCCAGTTTACGAGAGTATCAACTGCATCATTGAATCATGACATATGCGAATATTGGATAAGAAGACACTGACGGATCTCAAAATGATGAGGCGTGACGGATAGATTCTCGGTGCAGTTGATTTTTGTGGTTCTCAAAGATTCCTCGCCTCAGTGGTAGTTCAAGAAATTTTTATTCGGGGGATAGGAAGAGCAAAGTTTTTTCGAACAAAAAGTTCCTCCACCATGCTTCTTCAAAAATTTTCTTGAGAGCTCCCCAAAATTTTTCGGAAGCTCCCCACCTAGTTCTGTGAAAAACAGCGCGGAGCTCTTCTACCAAATCGAATTTGAAGTGTTAAGATATTTGAGAATTCGTTTTATATTTATACGTAAACATTCACTCGCACATTCTTATAATTCGGGTTAACAATCCTCACAAGGGAAGGATCCGAGGTCGAAGTGACGATCTGAAACAAAATGCATATCATTGAAATTTCGTTTGTTGAGCTGAGTCCAAATCTAGCTTTCATATGCGCGGTTCGTGGAAGTAATCATGAACGATTGAAGGCGTAAAGTTATTAGGATTCTAACGTACAATGCGCTTCAAAAATCAGCTTGGGAGTGCATAATTAGAATGGTGTTGAGTGTAATGACTAGAAGGAGTACATACAAAGTCAACACAGATAAGTATTTTTGAGCAACTATTTATTGAAGTTGCGGCAATGTGGCATTGAATTCGCAACTTCAGACGTTCACAACTTCTAGAGAACCGCGCAGCAGATGGGAAATTAGATTTGGAATTAGCTCAAGAAGGTGCATCGCATCTAATGATATGCAGTTTGTTCCAAATTATCACGCTGACCTGGGATCCTTCCCTATTCAGAAGTTTTGCACCCTATTCCGGGAAGGAGGGGGGGGGGGAGGGAAGGACAGAGGAAGGGCAAGCCCGCCTGCAAGCCCGTTCAGAACGTGCTTCTTTTTTCGAAACCATAAGTGCTTGTACACTGAAACATGATTGAAATCATGGAGCTTAGGAGAGACATCACGAGTAAATCTTGATACTCACGGGGCATTCCGATTAGTTCCCTTACAGGTCATCCAATTTCAACTTCACAAGATCCGTCTGCGAAGGATTCTACGCCGATGAGTTCCTGCGCCAACTGAGACAAGAACATTTGGCGCGTTGTTCCAGCTGATAGACTTACCGATGTGAATCATATCAGGATAGTCCAACATATATGGCCCTTGAATAAAAGGAAAAGAGCAAAAGTTTTTAATAGAAAAGAAAACGACGGAAAAAGAATAAGGCGCTGCAATCATGCTTCTGCGCCTAAAATTCCTAGTCGAGCTGCTGAATATCGGTTGTCTTTCAAGAACTTTGAATTGGTGGAATTTTCAGAGAAGCATGGTCCGAGCAATTTCATACAACGGTGTTGCTAACCATCATCATCACATTTCTTGGAACATTTTTGTTGATGTATCTCTGGGCTGATCGTATATTTGAACGAAAAAGTTTGAACATATCTCCGGATTGTATTTCTTTAGTGAAGATCTCTCTTTTCAGAAGCTCCGGAAGATGAGGATAATAAGTGAACTTACAACTCTCTATTACTCCAAGGTGAAATGTAGTATTACACATGAGATGACATCCTTAAATCAATAAAGAAATTCCCGTTTCAATTGTCAGCTGATAAAAGAATCCTAATCTATCCAGGCGTCACTATGTATCATTCATTTTGTGACTAAGAGACGCGAAGCCATTCGCACACAATGTGAAAAAGGCTTGGTCGCATGCTTGACAAATTTATACCTAATTTACTAGGTTGACAAGTTTATACGATCTAACTGATCTGGATATTTGTTTGGACAAAGTGTGCAACGCGGTCTCAAGCCTGTCAATCATAGAATGAATTATACAGTCTGCCCCAATCCTAACCAGGCCAAAATTGGCATGGCTGGAGCCCGCGTCGCTAGGGTTCCGCGGTCACGCCCACGGCCTGCTTCTCTGCTCTCTTTTCAATCCTTTTGCTCTCTCCGACAGCGCGCATATGCAGCGCAGACCGCTAGCGCTGCGAGAGCGCAAATTCACGCCGACGATTCGGCCTGATCCCAATTGGAGCAGACTGTACAATAACTGAGATCACTTTACGTGCCAATCCTATGTAGATGTGTAAATTTGACACTAACTCCAGTATACCACATCTCAATCGCCCAATTCGATCTGGGCCTTTCCTTGTATGTTCAAGAGGAAGGGTCTGATGTAGTGTGGCTGTGTTTTGACAGTGAGATTCTTACACTGTTCGTTCAAGCGCAAATTCTGCCGCGAAAATCTCGGCACGGGCACTATACTTGATACGAACACTCGATTCCCACGCCATTTTCGGGGACTGGCAGAACATTTTGGACAATTTTGTATGGTTATAATAGCATTGGGATAAATGTCATGCAAACCCCCATGGTATCTCGATGCTCATTGTAACGTAACCAGCAGCTCTCTGCCGCTAGCACGTTCGTACTTGGCAGCTTCGCCTCCTCGCCTCCTATGTCTTTCGTTCCACTCTGTACTGTGCAAATGTAACACTTGCTAGTGATTTGTTAGTTTGCACGAAACACTTCGGTTCACCTAAGTAGATCGAGGATGATTGAGGACACAATTTTGGCCTCTTACTTGAATTTGGATTAGTATTTTAAGCAGCAGACAACGCGCAGACAATAACATAGAAGGGCTGGATGTGCCCTGTGTTGTAAAGGGTGAATAGGTATCCATGGTGTTGAAAGTGGAAGCATGTAAAGGAGGTACACTGAATGAGAATGGCGACATGGTATGAATAAAAGATGGGGAGGGGGGGGGGGGATATAAGGGCGTTGGATATGCTGGTCATGTTTGATCTTGTGGTTGAGAGACATTTCTGATGTTGTCGATGAACTTAGCTACTCAGATACTTTTTCCGAACGCGCGCGCGCCTTCAAAGCAAGCGATCATGCCTCCCGCTGCCCTCAGGATGAAGGAGTAAACGTAGCGTCGTGGAAGCGGCTTACTCAATGGTAGCGATACGGTGGGATAGCATCATTCATGATAAGAAACAGCTATACAGTAACATGAAATGGTTTATTGGCAAGAAAACAAGAAGGAATCACAGATGTCCGACGAAGTCTAACAGAGAGGAGGAAGTTTGGTGTGAAGTCGGCATCAGCCGCTTGGTGGCCAGAAGATCTCTTTAATGAATCTTTTCTCCTTCAGCTTTGCTTCTCGTCGCCACGCCCCAAACAAAAGAGTCATGATATCGCATCTTGGATCTCCAATCTGCTACAGTTTCCGATCTCTTACACCTCCTCCATTTACCAACTAGTCCATCCTCGGACTTAGACGGAGACGTAAGGGATCGTGACATGACATAAAAGCAAAGCTAGACGGCGAAGTTATTCTTTGTAGAAGGTGAGTATGCACAGGGATTGCGGTTTAATGTTGCGGGCACGTAGGCGCTCGACGATGGGCTGACAAACTTGTGCTTCTGCATCGTTATAATACGAGTGACTTGCGGCGCGTTCCGAGTTTCCGGCAACGTCCAGCATTAAGAATGGGATGCCTCCATCCGGCACTCGCATGAGTTTGGTAGCATGAATCGATGTGGTTGCTGCACGCCGTTCTGTAAGGTCCCTCCATACACAAAAGTGTTCGCTAGGTCGTTTAGCTAGGGGCGGGCACGATAGGTTGTAATCAACGAGGCGACTGGGACAGATTGTGCCGCTATCAATACGTCCATAGTAGTTCTTGCCTGTATTTGGCCAAATTACTCGATCGGGAGCATTGGATGTGGAAGTCCAGTTGGTGAACATCACCGATACATATGTGACGAACTTGCGGCAAGCGGTTTGCCGTTGCGATCAGGACCGGCTCCGGTATTTGGGAAGCTTCGTCCGAGATTAGGAAGCGTAATTGGGGAAATAAGCTTCGAAAAGCCCTTGGGACCGGATGTGGACGCGAACATGCGTGAATTTAGTAACTATCGTTAAACATTAACGAGGAAAATGACAAAAACCCAAAAAAGAGAATTTTGAGTAAAAGAGAATGAAATGGGCAACGATAGCGCCAGTACAAATATTGTTAAGGGAAAAAACCAAAGCAAAGAAAAGATCAGAGTGGTAGTGTGCTTGAGGATATCGAAAGGAAAAAGGAACCACAAACAAGTAGAACTTCCAAATGCGAAAAGACTCTGATAATGTACGATAGAACTGTTGTTTCGGAAGGGAACGCGAACACGCATAAGCTTAGTACTTATCATTAGGCATACCAACGAAAATGACGAAACAAAAGCCAAAAAAAATTTTTTCTCTACTTGAGTGAAAGAAAATGAGTCAAACTATCGTAGCACCACTAACATTGTAAAAAAATATATAGAGGGGAAACAGACGAGAATTTGGTCATTGTAACGAAGCGATAAAACTGAGCGAAAATGACTCATCACTGTTGGAGCTGGCGGCCTCGCAGAGAGAAGTATGAAGATGGCGTGTTATAAAGCTTGCGATCAGGCCGGCTCATGCTAGAGCTAGATCGATTGAAAAAAGGCTTGCATGCGGTGTTGTACTTGTTAGTAAAATGTATAACTTACTCGAGTAGCAATCACGCCGGCTCTATACCAAACTGCTGAGAAAAAAAAAGAAGAATGCGAACCAATACGTGGGCTATCGAACCAGAACTCTGAAATACAAAAAATGTTCTATAATCCAGCTTCATAACTCTTGCGCGCTTTTCAACTGAACTCAAAGGTGAACGTTAATGCCCCTCTCCATTGCACTTGATTATGGCCCATCACAACAACACAAAAACGGGCTCTCAGCTCGGCACTTCTGTCCCTGCAGGGGAATCCACTTTTCTCTCACTCTTTTCATTTTCATCATCATCTGAACTGTTTACTCTTTTAGCCTAGGCTTATACGACACTTGGGCTGCTGGGTTTCTCTCTCTTTTCCATCATTTTATTGTCCCGACATTTTTTACTTCTCTGTAGTACATAACTAGATTTGCTAGCGCTAATTTTCGTTCGAGAGTCAAGACTTTTATTTCAAGCAAAAAAGAAAACCGTCGTTATGCATCAGAACGTTATCATTAATTTACCTAAAGAGCCCGAGTTTTAATGGGATCCGGCCGTGGTCGCATCAAAACTCCAAAAACTGGAAAAAGAAAAAAAATTCTTGAAACGCGGTTCTCTTCTTCGGCTGCCAGCCACTATAATTTTCGGTGGGGAACCCAACAGAGTTGACACTAGGAAGTTGAACCGGACCTACCTTGCTTCCGCGGATCGGAAACCCTCGGCTTGTGCCTATACGTAGCGCCGTGGAAGCGGCCTACTTAAAAGTAGCGACACGAGGGATAGCATCATTTAATGTAAGAGCCAGCTATTCAGCTTTGCTCCTCGTCGAACACGCCCTAAATGAATGAGTCATAATATCGCATCTTGGACGATCTTCAATCTCCTACAGTTTTCGATCTCTTACAAAGGTACGCGGCTCGCTCGCTAAAGGCGCGCCACTTACCCGCTCCTCAAAAGGCGTTGTACGGTCTTAGTGTGATCACATAGATAGCAATTCGATGATAAAATCCATATCTCTTCAGTAAAATACGACATTCTAGTGTTAGATTTAATGTCAAACTTGTATACAAATATCATGATGACAGACTTATTATCAAAACATTACAAAAAAGACATAAAGCAGAATTAGAAAGCAAAAGAACTCTACAAACAATAAATAGAAGGACACCAATACTTTTTACGCTTAGCACTCTGTCGAAAACGCTGCACGCTCGTGGCGCTGAAAGAAATGTCAAATCATTACTTACGCCATGCAAAAATTCTCACCTTATTGGCTATCCATTTTCCTGATTCGTAACCGTAGGAGCGTATATCTCGCCCGAAATCAAAAATGTCATTCTCTATGATATTTTTAACCATCTTTGATACAGAGCCATTTGAAGGGACGTGAATAGTTGCGATCTCCAATCTTGACGTTGTCTCTGGCTAGTCAGTGCTTCGCTTCCTTGCTCTTCTCTTTCTCCCAAATTCCTGTACCTGAAACGCATTTACTTGACTTTTGCGGATTCTATTTTAGCCATTCATAAGAATTCATCCAAGTCCAAATTGCCTATATTGATTCAACTCCTCGTGCCTGTGCCCGATATCTTTACAAATCCGGAAACGTCCCTTTACATCACTCCTGAAAAAGTTCTGAAACAAAAACTTTAGGAAAGGAGCTGTTTATAACCTTCTAAGCCTATCGCCTCTCTTCATTCAAACGCGTAAATGAAATTAGCTATACTCATCTTCCCTAGCTATCTGATAAAACTGCAGTTGCTGGAAGACATTCTTCTTTGGAGCCGAATCTCAATAAATCAAGAGAAACGAGCAGCAAATTGCCGCGAAAGGTAGCCCATGCTATCCTTCGGTGTTCAAAACACATACGGCTTTAGACCAAGGGCCGCACGCATTATCATCCTCCGGGAGGGGATGCTGATTACAACGGAACCCTCATATCCTGAAGCTCCGAACTTCTAGATTTCACGTTGTCTACCCATTCCTAAGTATGCCCCATCCATCGCTGCGAACATATTGAACAGGAGCGAGGAGCTGTACAAGCCGCATTTTC